ACCCCATGGCCCACTATACAACATGTCTGTCGGAGAACTGGAAGTTTTACGGAAATACTTGAGAGAACAACTTGACAAGGGCTTTATTCGAGCTAGTACATCGCCAGCAGCGTCACCTGTGTTGTTTGCTAAGAAGCCAGGAGGGGGCCTGCGCTTCTGTGTAGACTACAGACAGCTTAATAATATTACGATCAAGAACCGATACCCGATCCCTCGTATTCAAGAGACCCTTCAACGATTGAGCACAGCTAGGTACTATACTAAGCTAGACGTCGTCGCAGCATTCAACCGTATTAGGATACGAGAAGGAGATGAGTGGCTAACAGCATTCAACACTCGGTACGGCCTCTTTGAGTCATTGGTTGTACCGTTTGCTTAACCAACGCTTCTGCAACATTTCAAGCCAGAATTAATGAGGTTTTACGCCCCTTCCTGGGTATCTTTTGTACAGCTTATCTCGATGACATCCTGATCTTTTCAGATGACCTACTCTCTCACCGCCAGCACGTACACCAAGTCCTCGAAGCTCTTGAGAAGGCTAGCCTCTACCTGGACATCAAGAAGTGTGAATTTGAAGTCCAGGAGGTTCAGTATCTTGGCATAATCATCTCAACTGACGGAGTGAGAATGGACCCTGGAAAAGTCTCCGCAATCGTCGAGTGGGAAGTACCTTCAAACCTTAAAGACTTACAGGCTTTCCTAGGCTTTGCAAATTTTTATCGTCGCTTTATTGGAAGTTTCTCCAGGATAGTTAAGCCACTGAATCGTCTCTCTAAGTCAAACGTACGCTGGGACTGGACTACAGAGTGTACTGACGCCTTTGAGACCTTGAAGTTAGCATTTACTTCAGCGCCTACACTACGTCATTTTGACCCTAGAAAGGAGGTTATTTTAGAATGCGACTCCTCAGACTACGTGTCTGCTGCTATTCTCTCCCAGTATTACGATGGAGTGTTATACCCAGTTGCTTTCATGTCAAGAGTCTTTGATCCAGCTGAGTGTAACTATGAGATCTATGATAAGGAGCTATTAGCTGTCGTTCGAGCCTTTGAAGCGTGGCGATCAGAACTCTCAGGAGTAGCCTACCCAATCTCGGTTATCACTGACCATTCAAATTTAAAAATACTTTATGACAACGAAGCAGCTCACTCGTCGCCAAGTACGTTGGAGTGAGTTTCTTTCTCAATTTGACTTTGTTATCAAGTCAGTGCCTGGGAAAGCGATGGTGAAAGCAGACAGTAGAACCCGGCTTTCTCAAGACCTACCCTCCTCGCCTAACGACCCTCGAGTTCTATACCAGCAACAGTCACTCCTGAAGCCTCACAACTTAGACCCGGCCATTCGTATAGCACCTCTTGAGGAGGA